TTGGGATAGATTTTTTTTCTTATTTTTCCTAAAGTAGTCATGACTATGTCCATCCTGCGGCGCCGGCTTATCCTTGAATTTTGGGACACGTTGTATATATGAATAAAATAGTCTATATAGATTCTGTTAACAAAATAATGTACTACGCAAATCCTAGTGTGAACAAAAAGCTTTTGATATTTCTGTTGTGTATGTAAAGGTTTTTTATTTGACAAAATAAGTTAGGTTTAATAGGTATTATTATCACGTTGTTTAAGCAAGCAACTCGGCCTGGAACTGACGTTAATTAAGGAAAGTTAAGTAAAAAAATAATTGGACAAATAAAATTAAGCTTCCCCAGATTTCAGCCTTTGTTTACGAAAAGTTCAATTTCAATGTTTAACCCCATTACACTTATAAATGCTTGAAATGTAATCTAGTTGAATTGAATCAGGTGGTAATACCAACGGACCTTGAAGTTTTATCTACTTTTGACCAGCATAATAGTTTAAACCGAAACTTTTCCATCGTCAAGCCAGCCCTGTCTGTCTGTCACAGCAATGTGCAACGCGACTAGATTTGCAAATTCAAAAACTAAAATTTGCTGCGAGCAAACTTTATTTTAACAAATATGACAGATAACATTTTAGGGAATTTGTCCCGAATATTCATACATTTGATGTCCGCTTATGAAGTTTGAACGGATTGTGTTCTAGTGGAATTCAACGTAGGAAAGAGAATCAAAGCAGCATTCTTATCAAAGCAATCTCTATTACCATTTGTTTTAGTTATCTATCTATTAGTTCAATAAATCTGTTGTCTTAAATCTACTTAAATTAATATGTCTGTTCGATGCATACCTCAGGTTTGTAAACTAACTTAAATGGATGGGTAATTCGCTATTTGATCAGTCCGCTCTCGTCTTGATTTCATCTTTCATCTAATTTCCTCTGCTTGTATAGTCTTACAGACTTGCTTTACAAATAAAGACCTTCGTTTGTTTGAGTCGGGAGTTATACGTAAAGAAAGTTGAGGCAAACTTACTCAGTCTCATACTGATGTAATATTTGAAAACAGACAACACATTACACATTGAAGTTCATCGAATCACATCGAATACTCTAGCTACCTTTCGCACTTGTTAAATGTCTGCAAGCGAGACAGAAAGACGTACATAAGACGTTGGTGGCCTCAACTCTCGTTGAGCGACCTATACAAGTTTAAAACTTTTTTTACAATTTCAGAGTATATGAGATCGAGCAATGGAAATCGACTCTCCAAGAATTGCTTGAGCGATTAGATAGAGAGATGGCTGGACTGAAAGAAGAGAAGGCGTCTACTGAGAGAGAATTGGAACAACTCAATCTGCCTCTACTGGTCTGCTCTGAGTGCCTCTCCAACAGAGATGGGAGACGAAGCTCTGAGCTGACTTATGATCTTGCTGACACCGAGCTGAAAAAGGTATGAAAGTACTTCGGAACTATTCATTTTAACAGTGACAGTATTATTTTAAGACTCGTCCAACTTCTACACGTTCACGAAGGTGTGAGCATAAAACTAAAATAGCCAATAAAATGAATTAGAAGTTCGCTGAAGATAAGACTATTTGTGTGTTCATAAACTCTCTATTAAACTGTCAAACACACTATCCACAACTAGATACTTCGTAGAACAGGGGATTATGAAACGTCTTCATAATAACTCTTTTAATTAACAACCTGCTGAAGTATCTGTGTTGCGGCCACCTCCTTGGCTGCGCAACACTGGCCACCAAGAAAACTGCGTTCTTGTCTCGTGAGACATCTTTATAATTTTATTTAATTAACAGAGAGCGTGGTGAAGTAATCTAAAATAACACGGCGGCCTCCTTGGTGGCGCGACACTGGCCACCAAGAAAACTGTATTCTTTTCTCGACGGCTAATATCGTTGTTCTTTTGTTTTTTTTTTCTCGACCCTCGATTTTCCACGTATAGCCTGACCAGGAACATAAAAAGTAAAAACCCTCGCCATGTTGCGGAAATCTAATGGTACTAATTTCTTTTAATGGCAACAATAACTAAAAACTTCATTGACATGTCACCTTGCATGTCAGTCTATTGCTGTCAAAGTGTAAACAAACTTTATTTTAAATGTGCGCAATTGATTTTGTGAATGAAATTGCTAAAATCTTTTTATAGTCGTGAAAAAAAAGTGGTTCACAATGTGTTAAAGTATTTGTCGAAGAGAAATACCAAGGGTTCGGACAATATTTTCATTGAATAATGTCTCCAACAAAGGTTGTCAAATTGACTGACATGTTTATCGTATAGTACAGTCCACTATGAAAATTAGCTGTGGTTTGTTTCAACTACCTATTTTTTTTTAGTAAATCATATTTTGAAGTTATAATAGCGTAGTTATGTTTGACTAACAATAAATGAAAGCAAAAGACTGGCAAAGTAGATTAGGTACAAGTGTGCGTTACGATAATTGGAATTACAAAACTTGTACTCAAAATCGTGATAACGTGTAAAACAATATCGATTTTCTATATTATTAACTACTGTTCCTCTTCGTTTCCTAATTTGTTAAGAATGTATCGTATAATATTTTGCCATAGTTTTTTTATAGGCTTGAAATTTATTGAAATCCAATTTAGTAACCCTGTGGTACAAATTATCGAACCGGTTGGTTAAATTGGACCGAAGCTCTAAACTCGTTCTTTGTTGATTTGTGCTAAATATACAACAATCATGTAAATTAATACTTATGAAATAGTAAGTTGAATAATGTATCTTTTATTATATACCATGGACATTAGCAAAAACAAAAGAAAACTATGTGTAAAATAGGATTGAAAAAAACTGGTCCAAATTAGCGGACTCTCCCTTAATATGTTTTCGTTAATTTATGAAAATAGTAAATTAGCCCGTACTCCTGAATCCTGATACATAAAGTTAGCCTATTAATTTAACACAGGTACGACTGTACTCAGTGTTGCACTATCAAATGCAATTGATGCGCCTCTATGCCAGGGTTTTTATGTTCCTGGTCAGGCTATAAGATGCATTTTCACGACTTGAATTTGTAAATAATAGTACTTATTCATATTTTTATCCGACCATAGGTTTATTTTTTTACGAATCTTACGTACGTACAACATTTAGGCTTCACTAACCCCATACAATTTGTGTTACAAACATTTTTCAGGAACTCTGCGTCACCGAAAGCAACAAGAAGATGCTGATTGACCGATGCCAGTCTGCTTGGGAGAAGGTCAACAAGCTGGAAGTGGTCAAGTTTAAACTCCAACTGGACCTGAACGACAAGAACGAAGCACTACAGATAGACAAAGACATGTTGAGCTTGGACAAGGACTGTGCTAATATCACTTACAAGACTGATTCGTTGAAGACACCTAAAAGGTATCATCTTATTCTTTTCGTGTTGACAACAAACCTACACAGTGTCAGCCCAAAACTCCGCCACAAGAGTGGCGTTGTCAGCAGCACTCATCAAATCCTCCTGAGTGCAGTTGCTTGGGCACTCAGGGCACGACATCAGGTGCTTCATCGACTGGGGAACAAAACCTATAAATATAGCTAAAAGGTATAATGTTTTTTAATTAAACTCTCAAGAACGGTTATTTGCGAGTAGTCATACATAACACCTAATTTCACTGTGACACACACAGTTTAAAGGCAGTCACTATTCTGCAAAATAAACCTACTAACAGAATTAAATTCATCTTGGGTAATTTTTTTCAGCATAACTTTGTACAGTAAAAATTACGCAATGACGAATTACTTTTTTTACCGTTCAAAGTTGCCCTGATATTCAAAGTTGCCCAACTTAATAAAAGATTTAAACATTAGAATAATTATGCAGCTGTGACTCTCTACGTTCAAAGTTTAGCTAATAGCATAGTAATCCTCCCTAAAAGGTCGAAAATCATCTTTCATCACACCAAAGTTAAAGTTCCCTAAACTCTAGTAACAAATTACCTTTTGTCGCAAGTTTCGCGCTCGTCTTGGTTAACGCAATCAAAAACGCATCTGTTGCACCTGCTGCCATAATTTAAGTTGTGATCGCATTATGTAAAATGAAATTACATAAAACGGGGCATTCTCATCATAGCTTCCCATAATTCAAATATGGATAGGCCTATAATATTTGTTTTTAAAATTGCCAATGGAGAAAAATTTTTGGAGTTATTAAAATATCTTGTAGGATTTCAGATTGCTAATCTATAAGTTTTGAAAAGTTTTGATCAATCTAGCTATGCTGTTTTTAACAAACCTAACTTTCAGGTGACTTTCTGAAAACTACAGCGATGAAGTCTAACTAAGGGTCGATAACTTCTAAAAAACTAACTTCTCATTTACTAAACTCAAACAGCACAAGTTGATTTATTAGACAACATGCTCCAACTATCTCACAAAATAACTACGTCATCTCAAAGCTGAGTAGTACCTATTGTGGATTTGTGGCTTAATAACTATTTAATACTTAGTACTTACCATCCGGTCCATGGCGTCTTTAAGGACTGACATAACATGCGTAATTACTTGCCTTGATTTAGTATTTATTCTCCTCTTTGTGAAATTATTGCGCTTGCACACTTTGTGGTCTGCAGTCGAGGCTGCCAAATGTAATTTGACGAACATGCTATCAATTTCTTGATGATTTCAGGATGATCACCTACGAGCAATGGCTGGAAAAATGCGAAGCGACAAAGGATATGGCAATAAAAGAGCTTCAAGATACGCTGCGTCTACGCGAGTCCCTGTTCGTAGCTAGAGGGCGCGCTCGTAACGCTCTGCGCGCGCAAACTGACGTCACCAACTACATGCTGCGCCGGCGCATATACGACACGCAACGGGCTAGGAATGAACTGCAATGGCAGAAGATGAAGGTAACGTTATGGTTTTATCTTTTTTTAAATTCTTACTGAATTTAATTTTCGTGATCTTTTTCAAAAGCCCACATGCCAGCAATCTTGCAGCTAAGATCACAATACAACAACATTGTTTCTTTTTGGTAATGGATAAAGTTTTTCTAGTAACATTTTGGATAAGCATTAATCTACTTATACATAATACTACTGTGCAGATTGAAAACACTCGATAAACACGTTGTAGACGTTTATAACGACTTGTATTTTTTTTATTCACTCTAGTATACAAACTATGAATACCTAGGTATTTGCCTCAAAAAGGCTGATACAAAAGTTAAGTTCTCAGTGTTAAAATGTAAACTAAATTTGAGCGTCCCTTCAGATGGAAGAAAACATGGACAAGCTCAACTCAGAACTGAAAACAATCGGCGAGCAGTTCGCCGACAAGGTGAATGCTCTGAAAGTGGCCGAGACCCGCCTGGAGACGCGAGGGTACAGGCCCGGCATCGAGCTGGCAGGAGATGAAGCAGACGTGGGACTGAAGGAAGAGGTCAGGAACTTGAGGGAAACCATCCGGCAGCTGCAAGAGAAGCTGGATTGCGCCAAGTAAGTTAATAATTTATACAAGCATACAAATAGTCGATGCAAAGACCTCTAACTCTTCCAAAAGCGACTGAGACTCGTCTGGAGACGCGAGGGTACAGGCCCTGCATCGAGCTGGCGGGAGATGAAGCAGACGTAGGACTGAAGGAAGAAGTCAGAAACTTGAGGGAAACCATCCGCCAGCTGCTAGAGAAGCTGGATTGCGCTAAGTAAGTTAATGATTTATACAAGCATACAAATAGTTGATGCAAAGAACTCTAGCTCTCCCAAAAGCGACTGAGAGTCATCTGGTGTGGTGACGCGAGAGTACAGGCCCGACATCGAGCTGGCGGGAGATGAAGCAGACGTAGGACTGAAGGAAGAGGTCAGGAACTTGAGGGAAACCATCCGGCAGCTGCAAGAGAAGCTGGATTGCGCTTGTAAGTTAATGATTTATACAAGCATACAAATAGTTGATGCAAAGACCTCTAACTCTTCTAAAAGCGACTGAGAGTCATCTGGTGTGGTGACGTGAGGATACAGGCCCGGCATCGAGCTGGCGGGAGATGAAGCAGATGTAGGACTGAAAGAAGAGGTCAGGAACTTGAGGGAAACCATCCGGCAGCTGCAAGAGAAGCTGGATTGCGCTAAGTAAGTTATTGATTGAGTTTGGACAAACAAATACTTAGATAGTTGACGTAGTTAAATCTCCCAAAAGCGACTGAGATTCGTCTGGAGACGCGAGGGTACAGGCCCGCATCGAGCTGGCTGGAGATGAAGCAGATATAGGACTGAAGGAAGAGGTCAGGAACTTGAAGGAAACCATCCGGCAGCTGCAAGAAAAGCTGGATTGCGCCAAGTAAGAATGGTTTAGTTTATACAAGTAAATAATTAGTTGACACAGATAACTCTCTTTGGGCGAGACAACATAGAAAATGTGTTTGTTTAATTTATCGTGAAAAGTATGCAAAATTCCATGAAAACGCCCCCATAAAAGCACCTGGACTTTGTGTGTATGCAAATCCTTTTAATCCTTAAAAAGTTATGATTTGGTTTTCAACTCGCGTAATTACTTATACCTGTTTTCGGCGGAGGTCGAAATCTCCGCGATGAAAGTAATCTTCATTTTGTATGCAAATTGTAAGGACTTTTCCACCGAAATTACCCTTTTGTGTCAACGGTAGTCTTAATCCGTAATAACCGAAATTTCTACGTTGTTCTCATTTTGTTATTAATTAACATAATTTAATTACTTGCCCTGAGGGTTACGTAGTGGTAACTAATTAAAATATTCCCCGAAAAGGCAACCTATTAAATTCATTTGTACCTGTCCTGTACAGTAATAAAAGTTAAGGAAAATTAATTTCCAGTCGTTTTACAATAAGCTACTTAATTAAGCGAAAAACGCGATGTTTTAATTCTTTACACATAAAATTTGACATAACTCATTTTAACAACGATTTATACAGCGTGTTTCATTGCAATTAATGTGAATTGGTAAACACAATTCATTATAGAGCAGCGGTTTAGGCGTAAACACGCTCATAACTAACCAACAGACAGTTTAGCATTTATAAATTAGTAAGTATAGATTTGTATTCGTAATATGTAATTGTAAACAAGACTCACCAGCTCAGCGCACCATGTTTCCGCTATACCTAGTTGTCCACACGACAACTCGCTTGACACTCGATCGCGCTCAAATTCAGTGCTTCAATGTTTTTGTATCACTTCACTGCACTTTAGAACTTAAAATTACACCAGATTTGTACACTGAAGTCCTTATCAATAAATTAAAACCATTAAAAAAGGTCAACCATGCTTTCCGTTCACCTACTTACCCTCCACGGAATCGATTTTGTTGGTCTTTTGAAATCACAAATAAACGCTAAACTTTTTTTCAGGGCTACCTACAACGCGTTAGAGGCGGCGTCCATCAAGATCGCCATCGACCTGAACGACAAGGAACAGTCGTTAGAGGTGGACACGCGAGCGTTGGAGATGAGGGCAGCCCTGGAGCCGAAGAGACCACAAGGAACTGATAAGAACCTGATCCTGGCTTCCATGTATGATGAGTTGCCGAATGTTGAAAATTAGGATTGACGTTCTATTATTTTCAATCAAGTGTCAATCGTTCATTTGTTTTGTTTAAATGAGTTCATTTGACGGCAACATTTCGTGTGTTTATTCTTTTTTCTTTTTTCTAAATCGTTGTGTGTGCTAGTGTTTTTGTAATGGTTATAAAAATATTTTTTGATGTGATTTTGTAAATGGTGTGTTAAATCATTTTTTAATAAATTGCTCATGAAGTAAATAAGCAGAGTTTTATTTGTTTATTATGCAATATAAGAGTTTTAAAAAATTGCACCTGGACAATACTGGACATATATCTAAGGCTGGGTTGCACCATCTTCTGTGACCTTAAACTTTGACAAACGTCAACAATCTGTCAAACTCCATACGAAAACACCGGTCATTCGTTAAAGTTACGGTCCCATTAGACAGAATAATAATAATAAAATTACGGTCAAACAAAGTTAGGTGGTGCAACTCAGCCTTAGACTGGGTTGCACCTAGTTGCACCATCTTACTTTAACTTTAACAAATGTCAAAAGTCTGTCAAACTCCATACAAAATCTAATACTCTATACTCAATACAGTATACTGGGTTTATACACCGGTCACGGTTAAAATAAGGTGGTGCAACTCAGCCTTAAATCATTATTAAATCTGACATTCGGTCACGTCACGCATCGGTCGTTCACAAACTTGTTTGATGACGTTAACTTTTTATTTAGGTAGGAAATCAAAGGCTTGATTGAGTTGAATAGTGTTCTAAGGCTGAGTTGCACCATCTTACTTTAACTTTGACAAACGTCAAAAATCTGTCAAACTCCATACAAAAAACACCGGTTATAGATGACCCACGCTGAACTGTCCCACCAAACTCAATGACAGGGGGGCGCTACCATCGTTCAACTATATGGTTTCCAACATGGCAAAAATCTGAACCAGCGATCCGGTATTGACGGTGGCGCCCCACTGTCAATGTCATCGACAGGACAGTCCAGTATTTTGGAACTATAGCGTAAAAGTTACGGTCAAAGTTTGGTGGTGCAACTCAGCCTAAGTATTTTTTTCAGAATAAAAGTTCACGTAAGATATGCCACATTGGTTACACATATTTGTACCAAATTAAGAGAGAAGAGTCCATAAAGATAATGGAATCTCCCGCTGCTTACCATGGTCCAGTGAGGATCCTAATGGATTAGCAGTATAAAAAGCCTCCAGTATCCTTCCATCTTCACACTCAGCCTTCCATCGCAGTCCAGCAACAACTTCAAGTCTATAAGTAAGTCTTTTCCTGAAACCCTTTATCTTTTTTATTTGGTCGCTTTTTTGTACCTGCATTGTTATTAAGTGTAAGACAAACTATCTCTACAAATTCAGCCGCTAAAATTTTACTTTCGAGCTACGACAATAATGCCATATATTATTATGGCATTAATGTCGTTGCGTCTGTGGCATAGTTGACTGCTGGCGAATATGATGAATGACGTATGTGTATCGTATATGAATAAAATAATAAATAAAAAAGTTCTAAGGTTCAAAAGGGAAAATTTTCAGCAATTGGAATTCTATTTTAAGACATAAAACCACCCAACAACAGCATTCATATTTCCATTTCGTCCGATAGTACAAAAATAAACGATCGTTCGCTCCGCCATTCAATTAAAAACTTAATGGAATGTAAATACACGCGTGCATGTCAACTTAACCACAACATTTCCGGTAATTTTAGGGCGTTGACACCCGAAAAAACGTAATACACATCGAGCCGAACAAGAAACGAATTATCTGTTCACAGAACTAGGAGACAAAAATAAAACCTGTCTCGAAATGACCACTTTACATACGTACCAAACTGGATAGTTTTTTGTGCGTCTGATTTCATACGCGGAACTGACTCCACAAGAGATGTCTGCTTATCAATCATGCCACTGTATCCGGATTATTTGTAAATAATTAGGAAGTCTTATTTATCGAGATTTGAACCGATCGTGTGATAACGTAATCCGCTTCCTAAATAAAAAACATTTGCCGGTTCGAGAAAGAATACATTGCGCAGTTACTGTCATGACTGCTTCGGATGTCGTGTCGCACTGTCGATGGTTCTTTCCCGTTACAAACAGTTGATATGAATTACTTAGCACACGACTCGCGCCTAGAGGTTATTTACATTTGACTTTTGTCCAGCGGCGCGGAAGTAAAACGCTTTTGTCCTAAATGTGGGAGATTCTGCAACCGTTTCCTAATTGGAAATATGAAACATTCCAATATTACCGGCGTTACATTCATCTTGGCTCGTGGAGCGTGAGAGTCGTATTTTGAAAGAGCAATTTTGGATAGCGCGGTTTTTCCATGGGAATATTTTCCCTTGCGGCCGTCATAATATTTACATTCCGGTGAAACTCGCGTGCGGTTAATATTCGCCGGTAAATCTTTATTGAATTGCCCAAAGAGTATCATCCACACATGCGACCGCCCCGGGCTAGCACTGAAGGCTACCCACTTCACACGGATATGAAAGAATTGTATTGATACGACTATTATTTCCTTTTATGTGACAGCGTGTGCAATTAAGCGTATTAATTTTTGTACTTTCTACAATACATGACCATAAACGTAAATAAAGGTTTTTATAGCAATGAGTTCGATTGATGACTGATTGACTGTAACTGAAGTGGGAAATGATTGCAAAAATCTGAGTGCACGAGGTAAACCCAGTTACACAATATTACACAATTAGATAGGAGTTGTACTCGTAACAGTTATAGTCTTTTTCACGTAAGATGATCCTTATGACACTTCAAGGTTATCCATTTTACGCATACTACATATGCAGAATATTTTTGAAAAAATATTTGTATTTTATTAGCAATATAATAAAAATAAATTAACTACTTGTCTTGAAATATATAGTAAAATCTGAGTCTATTGATTATATTTTAATTAAATACGATGTAAAAATATTTTTTATTTAATTTACGCAATGTGTGAAACGGAATAGATTTAGTGCTGGGGTATTTCTTGTATAATAAAATCGATTATTTCCGCGGATTATAAATCGATTGCAGTGAATACTTATTTATTAAAAACATCACAAAAATCAACTATATTTTTCGAATATTGACTTTAATAAACGCATTGAAAATAAATTAATAGTTTTTAATTTAAAGAAACAGAGCCAGTACTTTTTAGGAATCGTTTTTTTGAACACGAACCATGAAATTTGAATATTATCAATAAAAAATTGTTACAATAATATTTGTAATTAAAAAAAAAACATGTTTTTTGTTAAATAACACCTATACAAAATATTTCTCTAAAAGTAGGTTTTACTAACTCTTCAAAAAAAATCGATAGATAAATCGCTATGGTTTAGTTATGTGACATCTCTAAATCTTTCAAACTCGAAACGTCATACGGATCATCTTAGGTGAAAAAGACTATAAGTCCTTATGAGTCATCAAAGTCATTTCTTTACGTAACACGGACGCGAAAATGACGTTGTGAATGCTTAAAACTTTTTATAGCCTTGAACTGCAGTCCTACATTCCAAGATGAGCAAACCTTGACTGTGTTTGGTATTTCACTTTGGTCTTGACATAATTTTTATTCCTATTCAAACGTTATGTGATACAAAAGATGCGAGATATTGCTTTGAAGTACTATGAGCTTTTTGTTTAGAAACTTAGATTACGCAAAGTTAAGATAAGTACGTCTGCATGTGAACCGCTGTCGCATACAATATTTAATAAAAGCTTTGATTTCTTATTATTTCGCAAAAAAACATGATAATCATCATCATCACCACGACGAATCTTTTAAAGACTTGCTATAATAATAAAAAAAAATATCTTAATTATATTTTGAGATGTTTTTTTCTTTCTAAATCTTCCAAGCACAAACTAAAATATTTTGTAACTAAATTTAAAACCCGCTATTAACTCATCTCTACATTCCCTCCAAAGAATTTTTAGTAGAGAGAGCTGTAAGGGTATTACAGTTTTCCTATCATAACTTTCTTAGTGTAGTTCACGTTAAATAATTAAACCATTGGTGATCCAAATCCCAACTAATATTATAAATGCGAAAGTAACTCTGTCTGTCTGTTACGCTTTCCCGCTTAAACCTCGCAACCGATTTTGATGAAATTTGGCATAGAGATAGTTTGAGTCCCGGGAAAGAACATATGATAGTTTTTATCCCGGTTTTTGAAACAGGGACGCGCGCGATAAAGTTTTTCTGTGACAGACAAAATTCCACGCGGGCGAAGCCGCGGGCGGAAAGCTAGTACATCTATATTTATTCCAAAAATGTTCAACCCCATCCACGCTAATGTAGCCGCTGATTCTTGAACTTCCTACTTAGAACTTTCGTCTTTCGCAAAGGTACAGATCCGTTTCTTAGGGTTTCCCTGCGCAGGCGCCCCACCGCTCGCATATAGTCACTACATATTTAAACAAGCCTCATTTGCCGCTGGTCGTGTAACAGAACCTACTTGGTATCGACTAGAAAATTCCAAAGTTCCAAATTTAAATTTTCAAGTTTTATGTTGTGCTTTTGTCAATTGTTTTTCTTGTCGTTGTTGGTTTCGCATGTGATTTGTGATAAGTGATAATGAATAAGTTAACGTAGTGATTTTGTTTTGTTTTTGTTTGGTAAGTTTTTGGTTTTCTTTTGTTTCAAATTTTCAATTTTATGTAGGTAGAATCGTTGTAGATTAATACGTTGTATACGAGGTGTGTTCAAAAAGTAAGGTGACTTTTCAAATTTCGCGGGCAACGTACTTTCGATTATCGATTTTTTTATTTTGTCATGTCGGTACACTCTTCCCGAACATCTGTACCAAGTTTCAAGTGTATAGCATTTTTTGTTTGGTTGTGAGAGGCGTAATGGTTATACGTGTTTTGCGTGCTCGGCGATTTTTTGCTATCGAAAAATATGGATCAAAGGATTTGCATCAAATTTTGCGTAAAAAAAATTAAATTTAGTGCTCCGAAACACTTGAAATGTTGACAGTGGCATACGGTGAAACTGTTCTGAGTAAAAAAAAATGTTTCAAACTCTTCCAAGATGGCCGGGAAGATGCCAATGACGAGCCTCGCTCTGGACGCCCAAGCACGTCAACAACTGATGAAAACGATCAAGCAGTGAAGAAAATTGTTTTGGAAAATCGTCGAATCACTATCAGAGAAGTTGCTGAGGATATCGGCATATCGCTTGGCTCGTGCCGTGGATTTTTTTCTAACGTTTTGGAAAAACAATTCATGGCTTTTGCATCACGATAATGCCCCTGCTCATTCATCTTTGCTTGTGAGAGATTTTTTGGCTAAAAACAACACCACAATCATGCCTCAGCCACCATATTCACCGGATTTGGCCCCATGTGAATTTTTCTTGTTCCCAAAATTAAAGAGACCTATGAAAGGACGGAGATTTGCAACGATTGAGGAGATAAAGACTGCATCGCTGGAAGAGCTAAAGGCTATACCGAAAAGTGCTTATGAGAAGTGCTTTGAGGATTGGAAAAACCGTTTGCATAAGTGTATTGTATCTGAGGGGGATTACTTTGAAGGGGACAACATAAATATTGATAAATAAATAAATATTTTTTCTTAAAAATACAAAGTCACCTTACTTTTTGAACACACCTCGTAATTTGTAAAAAGTTTTTCATTCATCAAAGGATTGTAACTTTATATTATTGTAAATTATAGAGTATTCTTTTGTATTTTCTGTAATCATTTTTAATTCATTAATATTAAACGTCATAATTATAATAGAGAGAGTTGTATTGATTGTTGTTGTTTTAATCCGCGTGTAATAATCATGTGAAATCTGACTAGTATGACAAATCATCATTCAACTTTTTAAATTTTCAGACAATCGACTAAAAATGACCACCAAATTCACCGCAGCCCTCGCCCTCTTCGCTGTTTTCGCTTTGGCGATCAACTTCGGCAACGTTGCGGCCAGCCCTGCGATCGGTATGACACGAAAAAGAGGTTCTATTCAGCGAAACGATTTCGAATCAGCTCTATCTGTCTCTCTTAGAGCTAGCACGCACTGGCGACTTGTCACGTAGACCGTGAATTAGAGAATTAAAGAGATGCGCGCACGATACGATGTGACTAAATATCCTCAAATACATGCAGTCTGGGCAAGCTATATTTTGGACGTATACAGGGTGTCCCAGAATGGGTGAATCAAACTGCTAGGGGAGGTAGCTCTACTAATGTACTATCCCTAAAAAATATGACAAAAAATAAAGCGCATAAGAACACAAAAAAAAATTGTTTTTGAAAAAGTGAAAATAAATCAGCTTTGCCTAAGTATCTGGCTATAATTGCTGCGCTTGAAGTTTATTTGTACTTTTTCCTTACTAATATTAATTTTACATGATAGCTACGTTTATCTGTAAACAAACTTTTGAAAATAATGACTAGATTTCGAGTTTAGAACACTTTATTTAAAAAAAAATCCGAACTCTAAAATTTTTTTCATATTTTTTAGGGATAGTACATTAGTAGAGCTACCTCCCCTAGCAGTTTGATTCAACCATTCTGGGACACCCTGTATAAGTTCCCTGAAAAGGGCCTACCTACATACTAATGAAGATCTATCAATCACTGTGAAAAAGTCACCAGTAAGCGCTTCTTAAAACCGCACCTACGCGTAACTACTTATTCTGAGGCAAGACTGGATAGGACAAAAAATGAACTGTCTCAGTTATGTCGATTCACTTTTCAACCAAACATTGGTCTATTGCACATCACTACGGGTACAATTTGGTGTCAATGTTTGGATACCTTGTTTGAACATAGCTGTGTTCACAGTTGCTGAAATAAGAAGCCATTGCAAAATAGCTAAATAAACCGCCCTTTTAGGTTTTACCTACTTATTGGATGCTAAGAAATGAGAGAGATAGAAAGAACTGATAAATCGAAATCGTTTTGATTTAACCAAAAAATACAGACCCGAGGTTGCACCATTTTACTTTATACAATGACAAACGTCAAGTCTGTCAAACTCCATATAAAAACACCGGTTATAGTTAAACTTACGGTAAAAGTTAAGGTGGTGCAACCGAGGCAGAGTCTATTGACTAACAATTCAATCAGGAAAACCTTTTATTGTACTTAAGTATAAATACATAGGCTTATACGTAATTTTTCCTCTTAGTTACGTCACTGCTACTCTACTTGTTTTAATAGGATGTTATGTTTCAATGTATCATAGTTTATGCTCTACATCTACGAGTAATATTAGGTATATGAAGAGATTGGAAGTCTGAAAGTTTGTATTTCTAATATTCTTTCGCCAATAGAGAGCTACATTGTTCCTCAGTGACACAAGCGAAGTCGCGGGCAAAAGAAATTTGGAAACAAAAGTCATCTTTTTTAAGAATCACCTTTATCTTTGAAATAAAGGAGTGCATGCACTGAAAGAATATCAAACGACACCTGTAGAATGTCCTCTGCGGACAAAAAGTAGTGTAGGCTCTATTTGAGAATAGTTTCTTTGACTCTTTTCTTTGTAGGCAGGCAAAGGCATTATGCACTTTGAAAAAAAGGTTATACTTGTCCAACAAGAATGTGCCAGCTCGGAGGAAATAAATTAATATTGAAGTTGATTTGTTATAGCAATACCCTGAAATTATAAAAGCTCTCTATAGAAGCTCTTAATTTCATAGTCTTGGCTCATCCATAATGCATGGGATGGAACATACACTTAGGCTGGGTTGCACCATCTTACTTTAACTTTGACAATCGGCAAAAATCTGTCAAACTGCATACAAAATGCAGCGGTTATCGTCATAGTTACCGTTAAAGTTAGGTGGTGCAACTCAGCCTTAGTTTTAAGTTTCAGACTTGCAACTAATGTTGTATGGCCGTTTGGTGTAGTGGTTCGAAACGGACTACTATTTCAGAGGTAGCGGGTTCGATTCCCGCACAGTACAAACATTTGTGTGCATGAACATATTTGTTTGTATTGGACTGGGTGTTTTCTATGTATAATAAGTATGTATTTACAAAAAAAAACTATTTAAGTATGTTTATATCCGTTGTCGTCTAGTACCCATAGTACAAGCTTTGCTTAGTTTGGGACTAGAAGCGCAGTGTAAAATGTCTAAGGATATTTATTTAAAAAAAAAATATTTATGTATGAAACAAATTTAGTAGAACTAATGGAAATTTCTATGGGCCGTACCGATACCCATACCCTCGTCATTTACTTTTGTTTTCGAAGCCAAGTTCGATACGCTAACATAAGGCTAAAGTCACACTTGAGATTTCGAAGCAGCGTAATAATAACCGAGTGAAGGATCATTTGATCTCAGTGAGTAGTCATGTAGATGTTCTGTGATTTTTCCTTGTGGCTATGGCTTGCAGATTTTATATGCTAGAATTATCTGAATTTTGACCGTTGCAATAATTCTCGTCTTTTTCTCCAAATTACCAATAATGGTTAGTTAATCCCGCGTTATTTTATAAAAAGTAGGAGGTAGACCAACATATAGAAGAAAAGCAAATCTAATGGATGAAATACAGCAGGCGTCGGGTAAAGACAACCGAGGTGACAACTGAGAATTTTCTTGGCAGTTGTCACACAGTGCTAGGGGGACAGCTGGAAATAATCGAGGCAATCGTAGTTGACACGATATCATCTACTCCCGTCTCCCAGCATCCATGTAGCCCTTAGGCCCTTTTCACAAATGTCCCGGTTGCCGACTAACCGGTGCCGGATACCCGGTGGTGAAGTGTATGGGCATGGTACGTAGCTTTCACATGTACCGGCGTAATTAATCCGGCATGCCCATACACTTCACCACCGGGTACCCGGCGCCGGTTAGCCGGCAACCGGGACATGTGAAAAGGGCCTTACGGATTGAAGACGCGAGGCAATGACCCCAATCTGCAATTTGGCCGTTTACTTTCGCCTGGCTTGCGCAATTTCGCCTTAGCCGCTTACACCTGACCTCATGATGACAGTGTACTTGAACGCGCTATTGTGATAGTTCACACACGCTACAGTGGAGGTAGAATGCAGTGGGATTACTCCGCAATGCTCAGTACTTGTACATTTTTTTTAAAAGTACACCGGGTGAAAAAGCTAAAAGCTCGCGCACACTGTCCTTTTGATTGGTCGGCCTTTTAATAATTCTTAATATGTAGGCTAACCTTTAAAGAAAATAGTCTTTATTTTTTTAAATAGAATTCGTTAATTTAATTATGCAAAATTCCATAGTCAACGGAAATTAATTGTACAACTTTTGTACAGTCTACAGCATATTTTAAATAAACAACAAAATGACAAATAAATCCAGTGGATTCTGAACTTTATGGATTTTACACAACTTCAAAATCAATTCTGAATATTATGTGGTAGATTGATGTATTTACTATGCTATATTATGTATGTACTTCCATCATCGGGGAACCAGACGCAGGTTAGCGTATCATCCCTATATTGTTAACATTCCACGTTTCGATGACTCTTTTATAATGCGAACAGCTAGGGACTGGAATTCGCTGCCTGCTGCTGTCTTTCCCGAAGACTATCCGGGTCTTTTTTAAGGCGAGAGGCACTTACAGGGCAGATAATTATGTATCATCCTAGACTGTATGCAATTGTGGTCAAATACCTGCCTTGTTATGCATTAAAAAATATTTACTACAGTGCCTACATTGTACTAAATAAAGGACGTTAGTAATCGGATCTACTGATCCACTTCAATTGTGAACACGTGCTCTGTGAATATACTATTGGAACTCGTCAATATTAGATCCGTCGCAAACTTTACTCGTAAATAATACAAACTTCTTCTTTTTTCGATTTTCGTAAAACTAACCTGAATAACGTAGTAGGCTTTATTGTATCCTTGTTTTTGTGGAAACGAAACTTTTCAAGAATATTTGATATGCTTCTTCGCTTTCTAGGCCATTATTATTTTGGTATTCTTTCATATTACATTTAAAGGGAACTTTGTGTTGACCTAATTCACGTTCAAATAACAAAATTATCTCTATAGATGAATCACGGATTGAATAAGGGTCTTGATATAGATTCAATACAAAGAGGCCCGTAAGCCTGTCTGGTATCATATTGTGTTGGATATAGTACACCTAACGGACTCTAGCTGTGCCAGTAGGTACTATTCAGATGCTATGCATTAATTTTAGTATTTGAAACAGTTTCAAAATCATCTGCAGTGAAGAAAAGAATAGGTTCATATAAATGGAAAAAATCCAACTATCCCTAAAAGTGCGGATCAGTTAAGAGATAGGTAGGTACATGGGTCCTTCTGTTCCATAATATCCCAACTATTCCCAATCGGTAGTGATTGTAGTGTATAATAGAAAAAATCTTCACCTTCACAGTGGAGATTTCAGTAGGGATATATGGGATAGGGGTCCTTTGCATTCCTTTCTCGCTTTTGACCGTCTCGAAAATCGACACTGGTTCGTGGTGGATAGTAGGATGTAATGTTTGATACACACACATTGGTTATATTATTAAAATTTCTTAGCGATTAGAGTCGCTTCTCAAACTAAATTATAAATAACTTGAAAAAATCTAACTGCCTAAGGCGGGAATCGAACCCACGCGGTCGCAACAGCGTATTACACTTGAAAACTTCGATTGATTTATCCAGTGTCTGAGTAGGTAGCTCAGATGGAAGAGCATACGCCCGGCAAGCTAAAAAGTCGTGCGTTCGATTCCCGCCCTGGGCAGTTCGATTTTTTCAAGTTATTTATAACACACACATTGATTATTGGCTCTAAGACTACGGCATTATACGAGACTCCTTTAGCCCACTACATACAGTGCTGCTATAATCCTCTTTCGTTCGTTCGTTCGTTTTAGCCGAAAGACGTCCACTGCTGGACAAAGGCCACCCCCAAGGATTTCCACAAAGACCGGTCCTGTGCCGCTCGCATCTAGGCACCTCCCGCGACCTTCACCAGATCGTCGGTCCACCTAGTGGCAGGCCTGCCCACAGTGCCCACGCTACGTCTTCCGGCTCGTGGTCGCTACTCAAGAACTTTTCTGCCCCATAACATAATCCTCTATTCACACTTTTTTTCTTTACAGCAACCGGCTACGACGCAATGGAGATCTGCATCGAAAACTGCGCGCAATGCAAAAAGATGCTTGGCGCCTGGTTCGAGGGTCCATTATGCGCTGAATCCTGCATCAAGTTCAAGGGCAAACTGATCCCCGAGTGTGAAGACTTCGCTTCCATCTCCCCGTTCCTTAATAAGCTTTAAGTTAGCCCGATTTTACTTCGAATTTAGGCAAAAGTCCCATATGTCCATGTCGTTAAAGTCCATATTTCAAATAATGGTGCTAGTGAACGATTCTGTAGTCTGGGATTACATTAGTAGCCTACCTACATACATAATAGTAGCACAAGAAGATTAGTTTTTTTCATATTGAATAAGTTCTTGCCAAGCATTTGCTATAACAGTGATATTCCTGCAAGTTTTACAAATGGCTAAAGTATGATTGATTTCATACCCGCTAAAGCTAAAGTCGTATACGGAAATAAAAATCTGCATTAGTGTGAATTGTAGTAATATAAGAATAGAACTACAGAGAGAAACTAAATGTTATTTTGTAAATCACTAGCTACCGCTCGCGACTTCATACGCGTGGCCCATTTGACCCCCTTTAGTGGTAGAGTTTCGTAAAATCTGTTCTTAGTCTACATATAGATTTTAGGACTAAACCAAGCTCTTGCCTTTATTCGAAGTTTTTCTTAGTATAATTTCAACGAAGTCATGCCAAAGTCTATCGATACTCTTAGTGTAAGTGAAATGTGAATGAGTTTGTATGTACTTAATGCATTTACAGGGATTAATGTAAGTGATAATGAAATATAACAATGAGATTGCAAAATTACTGTCCTTTTATTCATTACATAATTGCCTTAATAAGTATTAAAAAAACTAAATATTTATAATTAATCAAAGTTTCTGGATAAGAATTTATTATTATTACTTTGAGGTCCACATACATTTTCAAATCCAAAAATAGCATAATGATTAATTTTCCTTTCAAAATAGTGGACCTATCGCATACATACATTTATATGCCTACCTACTGTATTATAATTTATTTATTGTGTAAATATTTTTATGCCTGTAGTCCAATACAGCAGTTACTTCGGAGTGAATCCTCCAAAATGTACAAAACTCAAAAAAAAACTTGTCAGTACATATTGCACTTTCACATAACCGTTTCTGATAAAATACAAAAATGTACCTTAACGTCTTAAGAATATCCAGCAAACTTCATTACTATGTCCACCAACATCAACACTAGTAATCATTATTACTAGCATTGTAGAACGACAATCAGTTCACTGGCAGTACTGGCACATCCAAAGGTTGACTTGGAGGCAATGGGATTTGGTCTTGTGGCATTTCTTGAGGCTCTACTGGTGGGGCTGAAATGATAAAGGAATAATTAGTTAGTTGAAAAGATAACTTATATTCTAATAATGCTTGATTCCAATGAGGGTTTTCGCGTATGAAAAATCCGCCAGATGGCAATACGTAGACGCGAGGTCCAAAAGCTGCATGATTGGTTATTTTTGACATGACATTGACAGATATGTCAAAATCCACCAATCACGCAGCAGTCAGACCCCACATCCACGTCCCGCCATCTAGCGGATCTTTCATACGCAAACACCCTCATTTCTATTCCAATGAAGGATCCAACAACAAAAATGTGTGCCTACTTAGTTTAGTTGGATTTATAGGTTGGTATACTCGTAATACAAATACAAATCTATTCAGTAGGTACCTACTTAGGCCCTTTTTGAAGGGGGCAGATGAAATGAAATTACTACCGGGGTGGTAAACACCACCTATTAGTGCCAATCACCACCCCGGTGGCAAGCCCGAAGGGGGTAGATGTGAATAAAGTTGAGTATCATAAACAGGTAGTATCACCACAGAATAATAATAAGTACTACGTACAGAAGTTTTACTTCGCGAAGGTATTTAAAAAAATGTATGCTCAATGTCATTAACAATATAGTGTAATTTAGCTTGTCTCAAGAGTCAAGCAAGTTTGTCAGAAGTTTTGCACCATTTTGTTGACAAACGTCAGTGATCGGCACTGCGCCGAAGCTATAGGGCTGACTTCGGTAAAATGATGTGACGTGAGGTGCCAAACTGCGTAAAATGGCGGAGGAAATACATGATTTAGCATGAATTATCATGAATAATATTAACTACTTATTTACCTCTCAGTGTCTTGAGGCAACTTAAAAAAGTACATTCTGTGTTTTTATTATTATTTAGGCAGTTAAATACTGCACAGTATTTAGTACACCATTTTCTTTATTTTTTTCCATCATACACAAGAATACGCGTGCGTGAGTCAATGTTCGCTCGTATGTAAGGCCTTGTCGAATAGTACTCTTGTAGGGGGCAATCGTGCGTGTTTTGTTTTCGATGTAAACTCGCGGAGATGAACAGGCCTGGTATCACCCTTTATTCCCGTAACTCCCTTCAAAGCATAATCAGGGGTCTCAGAACTTAATTTTAATAAAACTCCTTCTGGTGCAGTCGGGTAATTACTGTAATTATTAGTACTTGTGTATGCAACGTCAGTACTATATGACAAAAATATGATCTCTCACCCTATCAGGTAATCAAGGAAGATCTGAGTATGAAGAGTAAAATTACACACTCAGGGCTGAATTTTCAATCATCACATAATTCAAATTCAAATTATATATTTTGCGAAAATGGGTTTACATCAGTAGGTGTTACAATTAATATCTTTTATCTGAAAAATAAACTTGTCATTTTAACATATTTCCCATACTCAAACAGTCAACGTGCCAAACTTATTCTTCAGAATAGTTAACCAACGATTGAAAAATTAGCCCTTAGAAAAACCTTTTCTTACCTGGTTGTTCCCCTGGGTTCAACAGTGCTGATTCTGCCGTTTGGTCCTGTTCAGTGTTAGACACATCCATTGGCTCCATCGGTGTCTGTTGTGGTTCTGGCGCCGACTCTGGCTCTGGTTCTGGCTCAGGCTCAGGTTCTGGCGGTAGCTGTGAATAATATTTTCTTGTTTATACAATCTGGATATACCAATTCACTACAGCTGTTTCATTCTGAGTTTGTTAACTCATATTATCATCTCAATAGTGAGATTAAAAGCACAATGTGGAATTTCAAAAATTGTGTGTAAGTTCATCATGTAAGAATAGGCAGTAATCTTGTCATGGTCCATAAATAACATTACTTGCATGAATGAAGTAATACTAACATCAGTTGAGAACCCTGTATTTCAGGAATAATAGAAAGTGGAAAAAGGAGATTTCCATCATTCTGTGATGTTTGAATTCTGTGAATACTGTGGCAGTTTTGTACAATACAAGGCATCACTGAGCTCGTATTATTTGCACGCCGCGTCTCTGAATACAGCCTTTGTATAGGAAACAGTAGATAATAATATAAATTTCAAACCTCTGGAGCTATCCTTGGTGTCTTCCCAATCTTGTGTCTCACACTGAAGGGCACACATGATTCATAGTAGTCAATCACAAATTCAGGATGGTGCAGATTCAAGTCCTTTCCGGGCACCACATCCAGGTCTGGGCAGCCTTGCCTGTAACATTAATAAAATAAAACAAATATAGTTTACAGCTAAAAAAATATACAAGTTCAATCTATAATACAGGGTGTCCCAAAAACAATGGATAACCCTGTAACCATCGATAGGCCTCGCCATGGTCTCCCTAACGTCCAATTTTGACCCCAGTAAAAATATCACCGTTTTCAAGATTTTTAAGTTTTTGTGCATTTTTAGAAAATTGCCACCTGCGATTACTCTTTCTCATGCCATTTCTACAAATGAGGATACTTTTCAATCTAGTTTTTATCCTTATCACAAGAGATAGTTGGGCTATCGAAAAAAAAGATCAAAGTTCAACAAACTAGTTTGAAAGTATGAAAATTTTAAGAAATTGCAGAAGAGAAGGAAAAATTAATTCATTGTCTTGCACTTTTGATCAGCCATCGTGTAAAAAAAATGTAGGAAGACCATCGTGCCCATTACCTTAAAAACTTCCTTGGTTAATTGAGATTCTAAAAAGGTATCACAAGCCTATGTATTCTGTATTATTTTTATCTTATGGCTACTTGAATAGCAACTAGTATGAAAACTGCAAAAATGAGTTTTTCTCGTAATAGTTAAACTAGGACTGCATAGTGGCATTAAATACAAATGGATAATTTTTAGCGTAGGAATTTTAATAAAGCAACATTTTATCATCATCATCATCATCATTTCAGCCATAGGACATCCACTGCTGAACATAGGCCTGTACCCCAATGATTTTCATAATGACCGCTTGGTAGCGGCCTGCATCCAGCACCTTGGTCCACTTTGTAGGTGGACGTCCTACGATGCGCTTTCCGTAAAACAAAAATTAAGTAATCACAAAAACGCAGAACGGACGGCCAATGGGGCAACAGGGTTCAAGTGGAGGTTACGTACCGGAAAGCGCATCGTAGGACGTCCACCTACAAAGTGGACCAAGGTGCTGGATGCAGGCCGCTACCAAGCGGTCATTATGAAAATCATTGGGGTACAGGCCTATGTTCAGCAGTGGATGTCCTATGGCTGAAATGATGATGATGATGATGATAAAATGTTGCTTTATTAAAATTCCTACGCTAAAAATTATCCATTTGTATTTAATGCCACTATGCAGTCCTAGTTTAACTATTACGAGAAAAACTCATTTTTGCAGTTTTCATACTAGTTGCTATTCAAGTAGCCATAAGATAAAAATAATACAGAATACATAGGCTTGTGATACCTTTTTAGAATCTCAATTAACCAAGGAAGTTTTTAAGGTAATGGGCACGATGGTCTTCCTACATTTTTTTTACACGATGGCTGATCAAAAGTGCAAGACAATGAATTAATTTTTCCTTCTCTTCTGCAATTTCTTAAAATTTTCATACTTTCAAACTAGTTTGTTGAACTTTGATCTTTTTTTTCGATAGCCCAACTATCTCTTGTGATAAGGATAAAAACTAGATTGAAAAGTATCCTCATTTGTAGAAATGGCATGAGAAAGAGTAATCGCAGGTGGCAATTTTCTAAAAATGCACAAAAACTTAAAAATCTTGAAAACGGTGATATTTTTACTGGGGTCAAAATTGGACGTTAGGGAGACCATGGCGAGGCCTATCGATGGTTACAGGGTTATCCATTGTTTTTGGGACACCCTGTATAAAAATGAATCGCAAAGTGTATTGGTAAGCGCACAATTCAACGATGCCTTGATCAATTTTACCAATTCTTTTTTATAAATGTTTGTTGAAGACCAAAGATGGTTTTTACAGCAAGAAAAATTGGAATAATTTCTGGGATAATCTTAAAAACAGCTCTTTTTTGACGCGGGAGGAGCCGCGGGCGGATAGCTAGTATTTAATAAGGCAGATTTGAGTAGATACAGACAAGGGCACATCAAGCTTGATATAGGAGCACCTATGTAGTTGTAATAAGTGCAATTTCGCAACAAACTGCACAGCAGTGTAAGTCTAGAGCAGTCATAACAATAAAACTGCTTTGTCTGGATTACTGTTGCTAAGAGTAATAATAATGAAACCAATATCTTACCATTTCACCAAAAAGAATAGACTGCTGTTATGCAGTTGTGCTGCTAAAATCTTCTCTGGTTGCAATCCTCTATCTACGCCTCTAGGTTTCTCAATTTCCTGAAAATTACGAAAAATATTAAATCAATACAAGAAACATAATTAATATTTATTAGTGATGAACATTCAAATCAATAATGAGGTAGACCAAGGCGACTCAACCCATGCCCACAGTAAATTTAGTATGTTTCATGAGCTTGGCATTTGGCAGACTGGCACCGACTCCGAGAATATCAATAATGGTCATTTAATTGTCCTAATTAAATAAACAACAGTTATTTTTCTATTTTTTAGAGTCAGTTTAATTGTTAGTCGGTTTTTAAACACAATTTTCAAACTGAGATTTCTAGCTTGAGAGTGATCATCTCATACTTGATTAGAAGATGAACACGCTCAAGCCAAAAGTCTCAAATTTAAGTTTCTAATCTTACCTCAACTCTTTTCTTCCTGTCTCTCCTCCCCCTCTTGCGAGAGGCAAGACTTTCATCAAACACTTCCGATGATGCAGTATCTTTATCTTTTTTTTGCTGAGCATCATAAGTATTTGCCAATTCTGCACCACCCAGATTCTCTTCAGGCTCCCAAGTGTTATCGTCACTGAAGAAAATATAGAAACATAATTGAGTGAAGTAGGTATGAAAACAGTAATAAAGACTGAGACAGACTATACGAATTTTTAATTTGATTAAGGACCTTTAGATAGGTAGTTGAGGCTGGAAAATGATGTATATTTTCAATCCCTAAAATAGCAGTAGAGTGGAACAGGAGTAATGCACAGAAAAAGCTGTAAATACAAGACAACATTTTGTCAATACCTGGAGCCTTCAAGGTCTGCAAGATCGAAACCGTTCTTCTTTCTTGGCATTTTAAATAATAGATTAATTTAATTTAGCTAATTATCAGCCAGTAGAAGTAAAAAACTAAAAACCAACAATAAAATAGCAAACAATTTCAATAACTCCACACGCAACAAAACAACAGCAGACGCGGATTTACCGGCTATTTTACCGATCGGACAACCGACATCTGTCAATGTCAGTAATTACTGACATTAATGTCGGTCTACAATATCGATGTTTTACAATGTTCAATTGAATGAAAAAAATGTTTATGGTTTCTTGTAGGCCAGTAGAATTAAACACAAAATAAATCATTTTGTGACGTTGAACCTTGGACCAGGCTAAGCAATGCAGTCATACAGGAGGGTATAAGGAAGAGGGGCAGCCATAGTAGATAAAACAGAGTCGTCCAGAAGAGTGCAAGTAAGAGGTGCAGCAATCGTAGTAAAGTATCGGCTGGGACAGGCGAATCCAACTCGCGAGCCTTGATAGGGTTACGCTGGTTGAGGCGGCCCTTTACAAGGCTTGGGAGCCTGCGGATGACGAGCTATTGGACGAAGAGAGGGTTATCTAATAGATAAAAGGAGAAACTGACTGACTGACTGACTGACATATCAACGCACAGCCTAAGCGGTTAAACGTAGGCACTTGAAATTTGGGAGGGACGTAGCTTAGGTACCTTAGAGGTGCACCTAGAAAGGAATTTCCGAAATTCCGGGAATGAGCGGGAAAATCCTTTTGTATGAAAAATCTAAACTGCTTAAGTTAGACGCTTGAAATTTGGCATGCAGATTGCAGGTACCTTAGTAAAGCTGAATTTTAATAAAATTAAATAGTCATTGATTGATTCTAATCGATTAAATCACCTAAGACAAATCAAATTCAGGACTATCACCTCACTAAAGACGTACAACTGACTGATGACAGTCGGTAAAATAATAAAAAAACACCACACACATGAAAGAAAACATAACCTAATTTGTGGGAAATTTTATCGCATTTACTTTATTTTGGACCTCTAAGGTATTTATTAAAGCTAATTTATTTATTATTCTTTGTTTCCACTTATTTTTAAATTGTTAAAGTGCCTAATCACAAGTTACAATCTCGTGCGATAATTATTATGAAATTAAAGTAAAGAATGTAATGTTTATTCTTATTTATTCACTTGGTTGTACGTTGTATATTATTCTATTAATTTCAGTGATAAAATATGGCGGAACCGGGATTATTCAAGAGTAGCACAGCGTTTTGTGCGAGGTGTGGGTCAATTTTGCCTCTCCTACAAAAGTTTGGTTCAGTCAAATGTTACTTCTGCAAGGCCGTTTATGAAGCTGGAAGTAAGTTAACTAAATCACTGTTTACCTATTTGAATTAAGAATGCTCAAATTTTTCCGATTTATTTTTTCTTTTTTACTTTCCTGGGAGCCAAAAAATAAATTAATAAATTCCTTGTTTTGAACGAAACATTCAGTACCTACTTATTATATTAACTACTAATACTGCTACTATTTGTCTACTACTTGAAGGGTATTAATACAATATCTTGTAATAGTAGGATTGTTGTTGTTCTGTGTTGTTTATTTATGTGTATATTCTTAATGTAGACTATTTAATTCTTCTTTTTATTCTTTATGATCTTTTAAAAATTACTTTTTCAATGATTACAGATTACAACAATATCAAATTTCAATACACAATCAACTTCAACACAGTGTCCACTGCAAATAATTTAAATATCATAAACATGGACGACCCAGAAGGGCCAGTTGTTGAGCGGAAGTGTCCGAAGTGTGGCAACGATCGCATGTCGTATGCAACGCTGCAGCTTCGGTCGGCTGATGAAGGACAAACTGTGTTTTATACATGTATATCTTGCAAGTGAGTAGAATTTTGTTTTCATATTAATATAATTAATTATAGTAACATTGTTTTGTGTATTCCATTGTGAGGGAATTGTCAGTACTCGCCACACTTGGCAGGCGGGTTGGCGGCTATTGTGGAAATCTTTAGGGGAGGTCTATGTTCAGCAGTGGACGTCCTATGGCTGAAATGATGATGATGATGAACATTGTTTACAGTTTAATTTACACCAGTGGAATTTGTAAATCAAGTGGATTTGAAATGATTTCTGTAATCTCAATATTAGGTCTGGTTTCCACCAAGGAAGAGAAATGTTTTGAACTACCAATCAGATTTCTTTCTGTCAATTTCATTCAATCTGAAATCTGTATGACGTCTGATTTTTTTTTTTTTTTTTATTGTTTTGTTTGAAACATTTCTGCCTTAGTATTATTCATATCTGTATAATAAACTCTATTCATCTCATTTTTATCGACTTAAAAATCCTTGTTTCTTGATGGAAACTACTTCTTGTAAAGGTTTCTTTTACTTCACTTTGATGCAATGTTTTTTATTAAAGTATAACTTTTTTTTACTTTAAATATCTTCATTCTTTTTCCAGGTATAAAGAAACAGAAAATTCCTGAAATTCCATCAACAACTTCAATCATAGGTTACTATTTTTTTATTGTACATACTTATTTGTAAACTTGTAAGAATAATAATGCATTTATAAGGTAAATTTAAAATTTCATTAATTAAACACTCCCAAATCAATAATTATGGCATGCATTTTTTAATAATAGTAGGTACCTAGTCATTCATAATTTTTCACAGTATTTTGTAGTTGTAGACTAGTTAGTCACTAAAAAGAGTAGTTTGTATGTAGTTTGTTTGTAGTATATTTTTTGTCTCATAATGAATCTGAACTGTGATTTTTATGATTCATCACCAGAATTGTATCAAGCACCATAATGCTTGACCACCAGATTCCCTGATTAAAAACCTTAGGCTTTAATATCATTCATAACGGTTTTTAAGTTGTTGGTTTATTATTTAATAGTGAGGCTATCCTCACTATGGGACTGGGACTATGGGATTGGGACTATTCCCAAGGTACAAAATATAGGTAGTACTAAGAGTAGTAGTGCAAATTAGCTCTATCCAGGTAGAGATTAGTGTTGCCGAACTATCGATAGTAAAACTATCGATAGTTTTTATTCGAAAAAGCCTTCTCCATCGATAGGCTTATCGATAGTATCGATACTGTCGATACTATCGATACTATCGATAGCTCAAAACGAGGCAATACTATTGAATATGTGCAATACTATCGATACTATCGATAGTATTGTTGCTCGTGAAGAATAAACTATCGATAGTATCGATACTATCGATAGTATTGTCGCTTTTAAATAAAAAACTATCAATACTATCGATAGTATCGATACTATCGATTGTTCTAGACTATCGATAGTCTGTAAATTTGCAATAGTATTGGGTATGTTTAAATTCATTTTTACAATATTTAAAATGTTTCGCTTGTATTACCAACTAAACAAATAACTAACAATAATAATCTCACTTGTATTTAAAACTACCTGCATTAGTTAAGTACGGCAAATAAAATGTATTGCCAATTTTGGAAACATATAATTAAATGTTATGGTTAACTATATGAAATAATTCAAGTATTCCAATAACCCTTTTGTTGTGGCTATTGACTATTATACCCAAATATTGTAAACGATACTATTGTAAATTGCCAAACTATCGATAGTCTAGAACAATCGATAGTATCGATACTATCGATAGTATTGATAGTTTTTTATTTAAAAGCGACAATACTATCGATAGTATCGATACTATCGATAGTTTATTCTTCACGAGCAACAATACTATCGATAGTATCGATAGTATTGCACATATTCAATAGTATTGCCTCGTTTTGAGCTATCGATAGTATCGATAGTATCGACAGTATCGATACTATCGATAGGCCAATCGATAGTCTTGCGATAGTTTGACTATCGATAGACTATCGATAGACTATCGATAGTCGACTATCGATCGGCAACACTAGTAGAGATGTTTTATTAAATGAAAGTTAAGAATTGCTAGCCACAAGGTGTTTAATTGTATGTTTAAGAATCACTATTTTACTCTGATTATCCAAGTGCGAATGATGTCATGATAATTAACATCTTAATTTAGTATATACTGCATTACATAGGATCCAGAAGTAAGATGCAGGAGTTGAAATGCAAACTGGTTTGGCACATCAAGTTAAATTCAAAGTGCTAACAAATATCGCACCCCCCCTGGAAGAAGTATGCAAGTCCACTTGTGCGATATTTTTTTTATTGCACTAAAAAATCGAGAAGGAAGTAATACATATTGTCAATTTTTTTCATAATTTTTCTCTTAAAAATGAAGAAATTATGCACAAATATGTAAAATATTGCAACATTAAAATATCCAAATTTCCATTAGAAAAACGAAGTAAATATATTTGCATTTAATTGTTTAATAAAGTTCCGTATGAATAATAGCATATTAATATTTACGTACATCTTCCACGAAGACTTTAAAAAACATTTTCGCGTATCTATTGTTGCATACTTATTTTAGGATATTATTTGGTGGGTATCGTAGTGCAAGTTCAGTTGCGTAGTTTTTCCACGAAACTTTTGTGCACATTATGCTGGTAATTTTGTGCAAGTCTACATGCCTAATTCTTCCACGAAGCTTTTATTCGCATTATAAATACATAACAATTGATACGTTATTTTCTACGTAGATATCTTTGTGCAAGTCTAGTTGCTAATATTTTGCGAAACTTTTGGCGATATTGATACATTTATTTAGATGTAATTAAGTCATTAACAAAGCACAAATTAACTTAGTTTCAGTCATTTAAGTATCCAATCCACTACTTTTTGCACTAAATACCCCTGTAAGACTGTGTTTATCAAAAATTCGTCGCAATGATTACTTACCACGTGGTAAAATTATCGGTCTTTATGAGTAGAAGATCCATTTTAAATTCTGTCTCTCTCTTCAGTGAATCGTTATCGTAGTTATCGTGATAAATTTTCATCTTTCCAGAGCCGCATGAGTTCATTTATCAGCTTATGCGTGTATTGCCAGCGTGACAAGGTATGTATCTATACGTCTTTTGGAGCAGTAAGCAACAATCGGTGTGTCCCCAATTATAGAATGACACAAGTTTATATGTATTTTAAGGATTATTGTAATCAAAAGGACATACTCGTAATGGTCAGACGTTTAAAAATACAACAACCTGATACAAAACTGTTGCCATCTTTTCGTATGTACGATGAGCGAATACTGACTGTATTTTTTTCAGGTGGTACCTGATCGACCGGACGCCAACCTTCCGCGGACCTCCACAGATTGGACTTGCCACTGGAAAGTAGTGCCTATCCTAGTGTTGACGCTATTTGTCCAGTAAATTGCATTTATTTCCAGGCCTTATGAAACTTCTGGCTCAGACAAAGTTCCTATCCTGTTTGCTTCACAGGTCCGGCCACTCTTCAACAAAGCGTATAAAAGCACCTATAAGTTTTGGAACAAATAAAAACTGATCTTTCTTTCTTTATAGGTTCAGCCAAACCAACGCAATCTCAAGCGATCAGCCGGCGTGCAGTGATGGCGATTAGACTTAGGGTCCGTCCAAACCAACGCGATCACAGCGCGATCAGCTGGCGTGCAGCGATGGCGACCAGACCTAAATGCATTGTTCGCCATCGCTGCACGCCGGTTGATCGAGTGTGAACCTTATAGGATTTGGAAGTGATGTCACCAACGAGTTCAATGTGGGTAGCTTTTGTAGTCATGCAGACAATAAATATCACTATATTATGGCTTCTATATTTTTTTAATATCTATAGTTTTGTTCCCTTGGACATCAAAATTTAAAAGGGTCCTTCAAAATCGTCTCCCTTGTTCATGAATTGTCTAGATTGAGATACTTGCTGTTCTGGTAAATCTACCATTATTTGTATTTTTCAGGTAGGTATCTCTTTTATTTAAAAAAATCTGTGTGTTCGTTAATCTTTTTTCAGGTCTAGTGATTTCTGTAACTTCCTTTCTAATTGAACGGACCTGTGAGTGGTTATGTTTCTGGGTTTTTAAGGGAAAGGAGGCAAACGAGCAGACGAATCACCAGATGGTAAGTGTTTACCCGCCGCCCATAGACACCCGCTCCTCGGTGAGTTACAGGTGCGTTGATTTATCTTTAAAGTATTAGAATCTGCTCTTAAAGGTTTTACGTCGTATTGGTCCGCAAATACTGCAAACGGCAGTTCATTCCTCGGTTTGGNATTTAGAGTCAGTGAAACTAGAATAAGTAAACTATTGTGGAACCTGAATTATAAGTGCCATTGTGTTATTGATTGTGCGTTTCCTTGGTCGAATATCCCTGTAGGCATCCTGGATAGGTACACATCCTTCATCGCAGAAGGCGAACTGGGACTTAGTACTAAACAGCGGGGTGTCAGACTGAGCTAGCTAAGACGCCCCGTTGCATATTATTTAGAAAAAGGAATAAACATTTCAAGATCTGAAAGTAAATCTAATTGTATGAATTTTAAAAGAAAAGCTTAAATCATACAACTTAAAAATAGAACAAAACAAAAAGTTGTATTCAAATTCAAATTCAAAATTCAAATTTATTTATTTGCATAAAACAGGGTTACAATGGGTCTTTTACATTTTCATGTTTCGAAGTGTCAGTGCCTGTTCAGCCATAAGTCATAGCATGCAAATATTGATAATACCAGTTTTTAATAAATTACATTAAATTAAATTACATTTCAATTAATTGTTTCATTCATAATTAATGTCAGCATTCAAGATAAATTATAATAAAACAGAACACAATGATTAAATCCCAGATGGTCGTCACTTACACTATAATCTATACTTATAATAAAACTGTAGAGAGGTAAATTCTGTACATGAAATATATTTTCAAAATAACTATCAGGGGGTGATTAGTGATCGATACTGATGCCAAAANGAAACGGCCATGCATGTTCTTTGCTCATGCTTCCCGCTTATGAGCAAAAGAAGTATCCATCTCGGGCGACACATCATGCACCCGGATGAGATAGCAGATATCACGCTCCAAAGAATCTGGAAATTTATAGACTCAACGGGACTAAGCAGTGAACTTTAAAGACAAGGGCTGCCACAATAGATCAAACCTGGTCGAGATGGCGCAAATAAAGGCCCAAAAACCAATAATAATAATAGTTAATTCTTTTACTACAGTAAAAAAACGGCCAAGCCACATAATTTTGACTAATGTGCTTGGCTTGGCTAAGCTTTGCTCTACATGAGATGTAATATTTTTTTGAGTTTTTGACAGTGTGAGCCATATTATGTCTTGCCTTGGCAACATTTTACACGAAAAAGTTTTTTTATGGGATACGTATAATTACTACTTGTAGTAGATACTTGTATCACGTATCTTTTTTAAATTAGTTACCGTTATTTATCGGCGTGGATTTCTAAGAGCTTTTTTTTACCACTAAAACCACCATGTTTTTTGATCCAGTCTAGGATGGTACATATCTGCCCTGCAAGTGCCTATTCACTCTCGCCTTGAAAAGGCCCGGATTATAGTCTTCGGGAAAGACAGCAGCAGGCAACAAATTCCAGTCCCTAACCGTTCGCATTATAAAAGAGTCATCGAAACGCTTAGTGCGAGCTGTGTGCTTACCATGAGTTTACGTTAGGTGCGCTCGCTAGCGACTGCGTAAAAAAATTACATTAAATGTATGACATATAGTGCAGCGCCCCTAGCGGCTACTTTCAAAAAATAAAATCTTCATAGATTTTTTTGACGTACTCGCTAGCGAGCACACCTAACGTGAACTCATGGTAAACACACAGGTGGAATGTCAACAATATAGGGATGGTACGCTAACCTGCGTCTGGTTCCCCGATGATGGAAGGGCGCTGGTGGAATTAATTCGTGTAATTATTTAGCACATTCTCCGATCCTGGCTGATCTGCATGTCTTTTGGCAGGGATAAGCCGTCGTGTACGCCCAAGTGGTCGACTAGTCTACGCCCGCGTTAATTGGAACCCGAACAGTGTTGATGAGGTGTCTAAGGTGTTACCTTTTAATTAATCACTTCCATATTTCAGTAATAAGCGACCCCGCAAATTAAGATGTCGGACGTTCGTTTAAAGCACGTTTAATAAAAGTGCATTAACTCAAAAAACTGTTTTATGAACTGGGGCGTTATGATAAAAACTCGAAAAACAGTTTTTAAGTTATGCAGTCTAATTTAAATATAGTGATTAAATAAAAATTACACGAAGATAATGCAACATTTGTCATAGATTAATAGAGCTTTCAGCTTACACAAAGCTTTGTAAGTTGTACTGTAATGCAATGCAACTTATTATAGTAGTGATTCATTTGAGATAAATGCATACATTTGCACTATTAGAAGCCTAAATACCATTTTCTGACAATAAAGATGGTTTGGTATTTAAATAATTTATTACCAGTTAGTTGGGTTTCAGTCAGGCTCTTTATTAGCCATCAACTTGATTATTGTTTATATCATGATTCTGTTCGATATTGTGTTAGATCATCAGTCCCATAAATCATTATAGATGACCCAAGCTGAACTGTCCTACGAAACTCAATGACAGGGGGGCGCTAGCGCTACCATCGTTCAACTATATGATTTCCAACATGGCAAAAATCGGAACCAGCGATCCGGTATTGACGGTGGCGCCCTACTGTCAATGTCATGCATAGGACAGTTCAGTATTTTGGAACTATACTTATGTTCTTCTGCCATGAGATTATTGTGTGACAGTGTGACGTCAAAAACTATACATATTTGTCTGACCCCAGACAATATAAATTATGTATTATTATTGTCCGTATTTTTTATAAGAATAAAATAATGATTCGCGTCAGGCATACCAGGGCGGCAGCGCGCCGAGGCGTCAGCGGAGTAAATTAGGCGGCGGACACCCGCGCCCGGCGCTCGACGCGCGCACTCAGCGATATTGTTATCGGCCCGCCCCGGCTGTATGCAGGGTTGCCTCTGCCGATTTATAAATAAAAAAAAGATAAAAATTATTTTTTAAGTTGGGTACTGTAGGGCAGGGTTTCCCAATTTTTTTGCCAAGGAACCCTAATTGATTATACTTTTCCTAGCAGAACCCCCGTACTACTCCGCCCGCACGCCCTGCCCCTCCCTTGTGCGTAAACAAGTCGGTGCGAGCGAACAACGTCGGTCACGAAACGTGGGATAATATTTTGTACGGAACCCTTGCGGCCTTTCTACGGAACCCCAGGGTTCCGCGGACCACCATTCGGGAACCGCTGCTGTAGGGGATTGGTGCTTCAAAAATGATCTGTTATTACCAAGAAAGTATTACTCACGTATCAATATAGATTTTATTCGCACATGAATAAAATATGAGTCGACTAGCTTTCCGCCCGCGGCTTCGCCCGCGTGGAATTTTGTCTGTCACAGAAAAACTTTATCGCGCGCGTCCCTGTTTCAAAAACCGGGATAAAAACTATCCTATGTTCTTTCCCGGGACTCAAACTATCTCTATGCCAAATTTCATCAAAATCGGTTGCGAGGTTTAAGCGGGAAAGCGTAACAGACAGACAGACAGACAGACAGACAGAGTTACTTTCGCATTTATAATATTAGTTGGGAAGTTGGGATAGTTGGGATGTTATATTGCGTCAAAAAAGATAACCTATGGCCTTGTTAGAAAATATGTATTTTTATGGATTTCGGATCTTAACCAACAATATTTTTGCAAGGAAATGGCAACGTAGCTCTTTCTATGGTACATGATGTACTGATTGAGGGTTTGTCTAAGGGGCCAACAGTTTCAGAGCAGATTTCAGAATTCAGACACTATAAAGGCCGTCGTAGTGTATACTTACTAGTGTCAGAAAGCAATAGCTTTTCTAGAATGATATTGACTTCTTTGTATCCCAGGTTTAACAGATACTATAGGAAAAAGATACAAAATCTTTAAAAGTTTTGTAGTGTGGACCTAGTTATTTAAATAGAAGAAAGAGCGCAAGAACTTTTATTCACTACAAATCTAGGCATTTATTATTAATATTAAAGAACTTACCATACAGTTTGTCAGCCCTGGGCCTGTGCGAGGCGCGTCGCTGCCAGCCCGGGAACAAAGCAGCCGCGCGCCCGAGCGCCAC